GTAGATATGTATAGTTGAGGGATAATCTGGCGTAGGTACCTAAAAGCCTAAAGAAAGATTGAGTAATCTCTCGGCCTGACAAAAGGATCGATAATGACCTCGGGAATGATGCCCATCGTCGTATCCAGATTTTTTGTGTCGGAAATACTTATTGCTAGTAAAATACTTACATTTTATAAGTAAGTAGGTATAATGCCTACTTTTTGTACGTTCTATATCTTTATTCACCAAATGAGTCAACATTACTGTTTGTTCCATATACCAGCTGCAGTATACCTAATACCATAATGGAATAATCTACTGTATTAGTTTGGTACAGGTGACCACGGTTAAATCAATCACCACGACGTGTGCGATGAAATAAATATGTTACGCCAGGCTGAGCCTGTTCCTCTCCTGCTCTGGGCCGAGGTCACGGTGCCTCATTGCGCATACCCCGCAACCCCGGCTGAAAATTGTAATTAAAATATGAACAAAACAGCGTTTAAAATGTTTTGCTCTAGTATGGAAACTATGGAGCAGTATGTCGATACTTTACCGAAAATCGGAAGCTACTACACGTCGACTCAGATTCCTCATTGCTGGCAGAACCTCTCGCCATCTAAACATCTAGGTATCTGTATATGTAGTAAGCATTGCGCGACAAATCCAATTTGCTACCCCTGCAGCCCCTCCCTGCTCCCTTGGACCCGGCGGCACCTGTCTGCCGGCTCCCCTCGGCGCTGTCGATAGAGCATCATATGTTGATGATAACACATTGATGAGAAAGTGTGCTTAGTTAGGCAAATGAGCTGAGAATATTGCTTGTCCCTACACAGCATCCCCCAGATGCTTAGATGTAGGTAACTATCTATATGTATAACACTACGGGCATTTAGCCGCTATTCAGCTTTAATATCGCATGTATTGAACTGAGTGGGTACTTCTTAGACATAACCATCTGATCAGGGAAAGGGAAATACAAAATAAATTCAATAGCATTTAGTAGGGGAAGCAGTCAAGACCATATTTACACCCGGCACAGTGCACGCACGCATTATTACTCTAGTGCCTATTCATCGTGGCCCGGGTAACCGAAGACGAGAGGATAGGTCGCGCTCGCGTGGCATCGCTCACAAACCGCAGCTCACAGCTGACACGCCGACACGACATTACGCGCCATTTAGCCCCTGAGGACTGGGCCGAAGGTCAACAAGCCGGCGCCAAGTGCTCGGAGATACTGTAGTAATGTGACTGTGTGTACTAAGCATTAAGAATGCCTCTGGGATTTACATTCGTTTCAGTCCGTAATCAAAATAAAATTAATCAAGAAACAGAAACAGGTACAACATGTATAAATGCTGTTAGTAATTGTATATGTATACATATCTCCGTGAATATCTTTGTATGCGTAATTTTATATTACTCCCTAGTCTATAAATAATTATTTAATCTCAAAACATTATAAGTTTACGTGCCTCGATGTGTTTCCTGGTAAAACGTAGAGAAGAGTTCGGCAAAGTTAACGGCGACCCATTTTGTATTGATCGGTATAAGGTGGATATGTCTCGAGATAAAGATGGCAGCGTCACGACATCGGCTTCGCGGGTACACGACGGCTATATACGCTCAGCTCTCAGCCTTATTACGCATATGTAATTAATTTGGCTAATTCTAGTAAATAAAATCCCCCAAATAATGTATGTAACCCGTATAAGCGTCGACGGCATTAAAGTTATATTTAGCTGAATCTCGCTAATCTGTATTCAGAATGAGTACCGGACCGGCTCCGAACCGATACAGACTCGTCCCCGCTATTACTTCACAAGTTCACACCAACTTATCTATAAGTCGATTAAGTGACTGGAACTACTTTTATAGGTAAGATTAGGTACTACTATTATTCTTGTTTTTATCTCTATAGCTTTTTTGTGAGCGAATAATCAACCAATATCTTCTCTCGCCCAGCGTAAGGCGAGATGGAGTGTCAGACTCTTAATGACCAAACCCCCCCCCCCCGTCCCCGTTCCTTCTCCTGCTTTAAGTCGAGTCCGCGGTAGCTTAATGCGCTGACTCTACTGACTCCGCAATCCCGACTGTCACTATCTTTTACGTACTTTTAACATAGATAGTTTCCTGCTCAAACTGCAAAGTGCCTTTACAATAACATGAGAGATTATATCCAATAAAGTGTTGAGGCTAATCACAGAGTATCTCAAGAATAACGCACGCCATTAGCGACTCGATCTACCCCAGAACACAACACAACTGACAGGTAGGATTGTGGGAATAGGGAAGTTCTTATAGGTAGCAATATATTATTATCTCGTCCGTTTCATTTATTATTGAAGCTAAATCTCATCCACTAATGGCGCAGAGGTTGAGATAAATCTATATAATATGGATAGCGGCACAGAAGGCCTATGTAAGTGTTTAACCAATGTAGGTGTACTACTGGCTACGGAAACATATCTTGAAGAAATTGCTTGATGTGACTGTTCAGATTACAATGCATGTTAAAATTAAATCTCAAATGTTGTTGGGTGTAATAAAATCGCCATTACCTACGTAACTGAGCATAAAACATAAAAAAAATTAGAAGCTCAGCACATGCTCTTTGCTATTGTCTCGATACCGCAAACATTGCCTGCCTCTCCATCCCAAACATAAAAGTTAACTTCAAAAGCTTATCTAGCTAAAAACAGTTTACATGGCAGTGTTGCCAACGTTGCATCCAGCATCGTAATGAAGCAAACAACAACAATACGTACACACTGACTCAGCTCTGTTAACTCGTAAAGCTTTGGAAAAGTGTCGACGTGTGCCTGACACCGACGGCCCGGGACCGCACTCAATTTCTCGATTAACCCGCCAATGTCGTTATGGTGTATCTACTGTGTACCTACACTCGATACCTGAGGTAGTAATATGCATGGAGAGCTCCTTATCCTTTTTATCCCGTTTCCCGCAAAACCCATACTCTTTATTTGAAACCATTATATGTAGATATCTATAGAAAACACAAACACAACGAACTAAAAGTATTCGTAACCTTTACACGATATAGGTGTGTTGAAACCTACATATTCATTAAAAAATAAGACAACGGTATATTCCTACAAGTTGACCAAGATATTTTTTGCTAAAAATACAGAATTCGATGAGTAAGTAATGAGTATATCAAAGTCATTCCCAGTTCACACAGACGTCTACCGTTTTCGTTCCCCGTGTCATCCGCGACCACTTTATGTTGACCCGCTGATCTTCCCTTTGTTTTTGTTGTTACTGGACGAGTGTACCAACGACGGCAGGGGTCTCAGCTAAATTGTCAAACAAATGACGTGGTAAACAAAGGGTTGTGCATCGGGAGCAATTATACGGCGATCCATTAAATATTAGATGAGAAATATAAACGAGGCTTTCTGAAGGGACAGCTATTTATGAAGCCATAATCTCGACATACGAGGGTTTGCGGTGTTGCCTCGGTAAAGGATTATTATGAGGTCAGATATAAATGTGTTTGTTTGTAATGTTATTGACGCCGTGTTTCTCAACTTACACCTATAAACGCTAGGCTAATTTAATTGGTGCAGCTAAAGCTTCATGCCAAAGAAGATAGGTAGAGATATAATAACATCATCATTATCATGAAGATGAGTAAATCATACATATTCATTCGCTATTTGTTTATCCAAATATTAAAGCAAAGTCCTATAAAGCGCCTTTTAAGATATTATTTTTTGCCACACTGTAGTTGTTTTCTTTTTTTTGGAGCTCCCAGCTATATAGAGACGATATGGAAACTGTCACAGGTACCAGCCGTATCGTGACACTAACTTGTAACTCATGTCTTCTCCCAGTTTTGCCGAATTTTACTGACCGTTTTGAATGAAAATCTGCTTTGCTTGCTGCAGATTTATTCCAGCTAAAATTTTGTAATTTAGTGACTACTCTACTCTTAATTTAACTTGATACCAATTTCACAGGTTAGGTATGTAAAAAATGAGGAACTATTTAGCCCCACCCCTTGCCTCGACCGTTACAAAGTATAGGAAACTTGGCAGAATGCCAACTATGGAAATTCTTAAATTCTGCAAACTTTTAATATATTTAATGTTGCCATAGATTATAATATGCTAAACTTTCTACACACCTTACATACTACATATGTTTATATTAGCGCTGCTATAGTTGTTTAACTGACGATCAGGGTGCTGCGACTGCTAAATGTCAGATTTTGGCTTTCGTTAAAGCACTGTATGATTTTATAGTTATCATCAGTTACATAATTTTTACTAACTTGGCAAACTCTGTACTGATTGGCTCCAAAAATAATCATTTTTTATTAAGTCAAATACTTTTCCGCACGCCAACATACCTGTGTTTCTCAAAAAGTAAATTACAAACCTACGACGTAACAATTGACTAAAATTGCACCTGCTACGTCAAAAAGCTATGTCTTACAACTTATGCTTCAATTAATTAAAAAAAATACATGGAAAATACAATATCTGGAGAATGAGATGTATGTAAATAAATAAACAAAATGAAAACATCGTGTAATAACAAATGAATCGTACGGAACATCCCTCAATCCAATACGTCCTCCGCGATTGTAAATAATATTTACACATTGTAAACGATAACTCGTAAGCATCCCCACACGGCACAAGAAGGGATTCATTCGCAATGAGCAATACTTAGAGACGTTGAAACGGAGGGTCCCAGCGAGGTGCCCTGGGGGACGCCGGCATTTCATCTACCCCACACGGCGAGTACTCGCTGATTTTTATGCACATTGAAGGGGAGGAACAGCAATGCATTTAATTCGAAGGGACACGACTTTGAAGTCGGGAAACTCACTCGCTTGCTCAGGAGGGAGTCGCCATCTGGTTTACCTTGTCGAAAGCTTTCGAACCAACAATTTCATATTTTATTTTACATCGTACTTTTTCTTTCGGAAAAAAGTCGCTTGGCATGTAAAAAACAATTATATTTACAAAGAAGACGTCGTGTTTCAGATGAGATGTGGAGTTCAGTGGAGAGCGGCGGCAGCAACGGTCGCGCGGCGCCGTGTGCGCGCGGCAAGCACTCGGCGACGCTGCTGGGCGGGCACGTGTACGTGCTGGGCGGGCGCGGCGCGGGCGGTGCCGTGCCTCTTCGGGACTTCTGGAGCTACAGCCTTGGTGAGCTGCATAGATACGCGTTCTCTTTGCCACTAGTACCATCTTCCATGATTTTTACTAGTTTGCGTACATACAGCCAGACACACGCTAGTTAGTTAATTCTAGGGTTTTCTCCATGAACTGGTGTTTAATTAAGCGTAGGTACCTACATCTACCTTCTAAATAATGGGAAACACTTGTCTTAGAAACTATATACTGTCTGAATGAGTCTTTAAATGTAAACGAATGGCTTGAAGAGCAATACTAATGAATTAATTAAGTCTTGTCTATATTTATGCTAAACAACTTGCTCTTTGTTGAGCTTCGACCTGAATACGGCACTTCACACCAATCGTCGAGACTGTCGTCAGCAGTGCGCATTGATTCGAGGGCTCTCCACAAAAACGTGTCTATTCTTCCTTGGAGCGTCTCCATTGCCGCTGATGTACGAGTAGCTTCCAACCTAATTAGGTCGAGCCTCGGAACTCGAACACTTATTACGGCGCAGCTTTTTTACAGAGACTATGTACTTGTTGAGTTGGTAGAGTGTTTGTTGTGTAGTTTGAGTGTTTGAGTTGCAAGTTAGTACAACTGTAGACAGGTACCTGCTAGATGAGCTTAGTATTAAAATGTACTTGTGAATGAAAATGTCCTGGGATGAATTATGTTACATTTTAATTCGTTCATTAGGTTGTTGTTACTTTTATACCTAGTTAAAAAACCTGGTAAGCGAGGGATCTTGGGTCCAGAATATAATCTAAAATTCGGATCATAAATGAGCAATAACATTGAAAATCAGTTATTATGCGAACTTAAGTGTAAATGACCAAAAGTGTAACCGAGTCAGATCCTTTACGAGTAAGTACTAACTTTAATTATTTTTTACAGCTACGGGTAAATGGGAGAAACTGGAGTGTCGAGGCGACCCTCCTCCCTCCCTGCAGGAGCACAGCGCCACGGCACACGAGAACAAGCTGTACGTGTTTGGAGGAGAGGCTGGCGCCCTCTCGAACGAGACCCCGCTCTGGATATACGACACAGAGGTAAGCAGAGCTTGCTAGCACGGGCTCGAAGTTTGCCATTAGTTGTATGGCGTCTGTGTCAACAACACCGATATAAGGATTTTGGGTTACCCACAGAAATCAGCTAAGATCAGTTATTAATTTCGACGGTAAACGTATATACCTATAGGTATATAACGTACTTACAAGTTACCGTGCAGCCGGTGCAGCTCGCTAGACTTTCATAGTTATTCATCATTAAGCTCGCATTATTGCTGTAGTGTGTAGTTCGCATGCATGACAAGACTTTGATTTTGTGTACAACGGTCGTCGTACTGCATCGTTATTGAATAATTAATATTGGATTTGAGAAGTTAAATATTGAAGAGATATACATAACTGTTGCAGACACAGGTGTGGCGTAAGCTGCCGGGACAGTCGAACTACTCGAGCACACTGAGACGGCGCAGCCCGAGGGACGCCCGGGGCGCCGCCCTCGGGCCGCGCGGCCGCCGCGGACACTCCGCGCATGCGCTCAAAGACTGCTTGCTCATATATGGCGGGTACAAGGACCTCAGGGGCTCTACACATGAACTGTGGGCGTTTCACTATGGTAAGCAGGAATTACAAGCAATTTTCTTGTCAAGTATGTGACATACCTAACACTTTCTCAAGTACCGCATTAATCGGTTCATACCTAGTTACCAACCTTTTCTCTTCTCGTCCTGGCAAGGCGTTAGAGAGAGTGTTAGAATCTTACTGACTAAAGACACTTTGTGTAATACACAAATGGTTGTTCTGAGCCTGGACGTGATGTGTAAGTGCACCCGAGAAGGCAGTAAGTGTGTAAATAGTTGCGATGTGCCTGTAGAGTCGGAGTCGTGGCACCAGGTGCGCACGGCGAGCGCGGGCCCGGCGCGGCACCGGCACGCCGCGGCGCTGCACGACAACCGCCTGTACGTGCACGGCGGACAGTGCGACCTGCGAGACTGCGCCGACCTCTGGTACTACGACACCAGTGAGTACCACATCGACAACTACACCAACACTAAACTACTTTTATCATGTTGTAATCTATTAGTCAAAGTTAATTGGTAGTTAGACCTGTCCTGTCCTAATGACAATCTAAAGCGTGTATGAATGTGTAGTAGAGACGGGGGCTCGTTGTTTGTAGTCTTTACTACACATTAAGACGAGATGATAGTGGTCCAAATATTACGCATTCAGACGAGATAATAGTAGTCCAGATATTATACAACTGAATAAACGAATACAAAGTAGATTAATCGGCGTCGAAGGAGACGTGACACGTCCTTGTGTGTTCCACTACATTGTACGTACGAGCCCCAGTAAGAGTGTGTGCGTGGCGCAGTGTCCCGCGTGTGGAGCCAGGTCCGCACGCCGGCCAAGCTGTCGCCCAGCGCGCGCAGCGGGCACGCCGGCCTGCGCGCCGGGGCGCATCTCTACATCTTCGGCGGGGAGACGCACGGACACTCCACCAACGAGCTCTGGAGGTTCCACTTCGGTAACGTAACATCTTTCTATTTCATGTAACTAAGACGTGGTTATACATATGTAGATACTTATAAAAACATTACTTATCCGAATTCATCCCCAGAATCATCATCATAACTTCTGAAAATCGGCCCGAAATTAATTTGGAATAAACAATTAATTTATATTTCTAATTTCAGCGACAGAAACGTGGGAACGAATAGTGCAGAGTCTGAAATGGCCGTCGCCCCGTGTAGACAGCTGCGCGCTACTGATACCTGCAGCCCCGCCCCGCGTGCGCTCCGCCCCCGCCAACAGGATGGGCCCCAACAGGCACTCGCTGAGCTCGCGGCCCGACCCCCCCGCCAGCCTGCTCAAAGAGATCTCCAAGTTGTCCTCATTCCACATCCGGAGAGCGGCTCGGTGCTCGTACAGCGTGCTGGCCGGGGAGAGGGACTCCACCGAGAGTCTCGTGCGGCAGGAGGCCGCTGCGCTGTCCAAGTCGCACTCCGCTTACATCATCGACAAGCGACAGCCCGCCGACGGCGACGAGAGCCCCCGAGAAGGCGATGTCCCCGAATTTAGATCGGAAATGTCCCGAGAGCCCATTTCAGTTCCCGACTTTGCTGATATGATCCTGCCCACGCCAGTCTTATCTCCGGTGGAAGCTACTAAGCTGGTGTATCTTGATTCGGAAGATGAAGAAGATATGAAGCGTGAATTTAGTAGCATGAAGAAAAAAGACGGAATCACATCAGTGAAGCTGGACGGGAAGGTCACCGTGGTCACGATCCCTAAGTCGGCATCCGTCCGGTTCACCAAGGACACGATAATCACGGACGAGGAGGACACAGAACTGTCCACGTCTGACTACGCGAGTGCTGAGCGGGTCAACCGACTCTCTGGGAATTCGCTAGGGTTCAGCAACCCTCATTACTTAGGACCCGACGTGAGAAATTTGGGAGCAGCGTTGACTCCCGATTCAGGTGTAGGGCCTGGAGATATTGAGCTCCAGGATTTGGGAGAGAGGCGCGCCAGGAGTGTGCCAAGGAATGGCGAGACTCAACTGCATCTGCTGCTAGTGGGAGGCAAAGAACCTCCCCACCTGGCCTTGCTCCAAAACCCGCTGTCCATGTGGACCTACAGGTTATTGTAATAACTTACTTGTTAGTTTAGATCTTCGTCCATTAGCGGAACTAGGGCCCTCCAGGGCTGAGGTAGCCGTCGATTTGACGTTTTCAATCACATTTATTTTTGTGGCTCTAAAATATTTTAAGAAAATGATCTTTATATAAATAATTTTAAAGTTGAGAATCATGTGAACGTGCTTTTCGAATCGTTGACGTCCAAATTATTGATGTAAAGAAATACTTATGAGACTTAGTTTAGGTAGTTCCAAGGTGTAGGTACCTACGTGTTCGCATTTATATACTAAAAGTACTTACTCAGACATAAGTAACGATAACGCGGAATATTTATAATTTTATATTACACGCAGTGTCACAAACTCTTCCATGAAATGTCTCCTCAGTAATATGTACCTAATCAAGTTATTAATTAATAGTCTGCCCACGATGTCCAAACTTCGTGTTGGGTGCTGCGTTGTCGTTACTGTATTTGTCCGTCGTGTAGCTACTATAACGTTTGGGTACAACGAGTGCCAATTCAAGTATTCTTAGATATAACCGACATTATGATGATGTACTTAGCACAAATTGTGGTTGACTCCGAGGTACTCTGGCTGCCACGTGCGATGCGATACTACTTTTATTGGTACACTCATTAACTTAATCCATGTATGAACAGGAATAACTGCAATAATAGAGCAACAGAGACATGATCTGTAAATGTTTATGATGTAGTACGGTACCGGAGGAGCAAAAGCTGTGATATATTGTTTATCTCGCCCGGCTACTGTACGACATTAGACTTTAGACATCGTATCGCACGCCTGTGTGAGGCAGACCTTGCGCTGTTTTATAATCTGTGGTATTCTCAAGTAGTTTCCTAAATATGTTTAAGTTTACAATAATGTCCACGCAATATGTTGTTTGTTATATCTCTTAAGTTTTTAACGTTACTCAGTTGTTTTATATTTTATTGTTTTTGTATAAGTATCTATTACTTAATTACTTGTTTTATACTTTTACGTAGACTTTTTACGGATTGCAAACATTTGTTTGGAAACATAGATTACCTATGTTCGAACGATTAGATAATTAAGCGACTACATGATATTATTTAACGTCGGCAGACATCTTGCTACTTTTGCTAATGAATGAGACATACGCACGAACAAACTTCTATGGTAAGGGCCGGATTAACGCAGTCAGCCGAATAAAGGAAGGATTGTTATATTTTTTAGCATCTGCTCAAAATAAAGATATTATATTTCATTTAAAAGACATTTGTCCAAATGATTCGGGACCCCTAGGCAATTCAGCAATTGCTTATTCTGCATATTATTTAATCCAGCCCTAAAAAAGTAGGTGGACACGTTTTACTAGCCAGACTTGTACTGTATTATAGATACCGTGTAAGTACAATGTCATGTTCAGGTGAGTATAGTGTGACCATTCGTGCTGTGCACTCCTGGTACCTATGCAAGGTGGGGGCCGAAGAATATTATAATGTCGGTCATCGGTTTCAAGGCAAGTAATATACCTAATATGCTTACTTAGGTAGGTACTTGATTAAATTGTAATTTTTTTAAAATATATAGCTGGTACATAGAAACTAACTTAAAGCGGAACTTGTTTACATAGACAGTCCGATACAGAAAACACCTGCCGCCACAAGCGTTTGCGTTGACGGCACACAGACAGACCGCAGCAGCCGATTCCCCAAGGAGTGCACAGTACCAATGGTCACACTATAGTTACTCAATACTGCTCTCTGAAACTATAAAATTTAAAATACTTTTAGCTATGTATGTTTTTCAAGCAAGTGGGAAATTCTTGTAAATTGAAATAAGTTACCTACTATACCTATGTAGCTACTGTTTCTAAGTTTCAATTTATTAACAAGGCAACGGACTGCAGAAGTGGCCACGCGAAATGGCGAGTAATTACCTACCTATCAGATTTACCTTATTACAATCATCATCAGCTGGTAGACGTCTACTGCTGAACAAAGGCTATGCCTTAATCACAAAATATAATCAAATTATCAACAAATATTTTTTAAATTCCTTTAATTCGTTAGATACCTACTCATTATTTTGACTCCCAGGATGACATGAAACAATCCAGTTTAAGCACAACTAGCATTTTTTCTTCCGATTAACTAATTTAAAAAACTCTGTCAATGTAGATATGTGTTCATAATTTGGTAAAGTAAGTAGATAAACGCTGATTCCTTTCTCCTTGTAAGAAGATGGCTGTTCTCAGCAGTTAAGTCTATAATAATAAATGTTCATATTTAAGTAGGACTTATGGCCGTACCTGCGTCCCTGCCAGTAGCGTGTCACTAACATACCCAGTACTGTGTAGGTCTTATACTCGTCTGTACGTATTCGCAGTCGCGCGTGTGATTGTGTGAGCCGTGCCGTGTGTGTGTGAGCGATCGCTAAGACTGAGTAGTGTGTAGCGGTTACATGCGTTAGGTACTCTACTTACGTCTGTCACACTCTAATAGGACAGTTACTCCAAGCAACAGCCACGCTCAGGACCGCCATTTTTCAAAACTCAAGTCATACTTGTTGGTTAGCTTTAGACTGAAAATGTTTGTAAGCTACTCGGATCTCTACCTTTTAGGTGTTTTACGTATACTGTGGCTGTGAACTAACCGCAACCATCTGATTTCAAGTGATAACTGAGATTGGTCAACCAAAGGCTCATTAATTATAAGTTTAACTGATACCGCTGTACCGCGCCCTACGTATGTGCTACGAATGGGTTACTTACCGATATACGTTTATACTCGTATAAAAAAACTGGTATCGGAGTGACTGAGTGTAACAGCAATGCCCTCCCTCCCCTCACAAACGTAGAGCGCGGTAAACTACACCAGAATACCAAGAGCAGAAGAGCAACTGTCAGATGTTTTCAGGTAAATTGCTGTAAACAATCGATTAAGTTACTGTAACAAAAAACATTGTGGCGTACCTAACCTGCTCATAGTCTGGTCGGGCCGCCAGACTAATATGAATACGCTATATTGCCTGGCCCGGTCCCATTCGAGTACAATATTCGACATGTTAATAAACGTAGTTATGTCCACGACACTCTTTTATTTAACCCCAGAAATATAAATATTTTTTACGGTATAAGTCGGAAACGAGCAGACGGATTACCTGATGGTAAGCAATCAGCGCCGCCCATGGACATCCGAAACACCAAAGGAGTTACGAGTGCGTTGCCAGCGTTTTGGTGATAGGGGTTGCGGATATAAGGATCGGGAAGGGGCGGGATTGGGCCTCCGGTAACCTCACTCACACGGCGAAACACAACGCTGTTGGTTGTGACACGCCGGTATTCTGTTGTAAATACAAATCTACTGTGAAAATAACGACTTACTTAGGTACGTGAAAAGTCGTTTACCCTTCACCTAACAAATAAAAGTATTTGTTTATAAATGAAACTACACAACTTCACGTAAGTCACTTTATTCAGAAGGCTAGTCATTTATTACATTAGTCACTTAATGAATGCATAATGTCACTACAGTAAGAACATTGTGTATGTAATGGATTTCACGCGTTAGCTAAACAACGGAAATTAAATAAAACTTTGTAAAATTACAACATTATAAATACACCAATCAAGTCATGTGCAATTACAATAATGTTTCGATTGACAAAAATATAGAATAATAGGTAATTATAATATCCACTTATTTCATATAGCTACAAAATTCATTTATAATAATTAAGTAGGAAATAATATAGCTTCCTATATAGAGAATAATAATTGTATGGTAAGAGGGTTTCCTCCGTTTTACACAATTAGCAGTTTCAGTCCATTCAACACTCGCGTAGTGTATGCACAATGCACGCGCCACACTCGCCAGTATGCCGCGGGCAGCCTCTACACCGAATTGGATCATTCTAGTATTCTAGGTATATGTGAAGTTGAAAAATGCTAACATTATCTAACATGGCGAGTCAAGCAGAGGATGCTTGCGGACGTATTCATGTGACAAAGCGATCGTACACTGTAAGTAGATCACATGTATCAACTCCGCCCACGTTGTGTGGCGACAGGTTTAGTAGAAAGAATTGTTGAGGTTGTCCTGCAAGGATAGGTTCAAGAGGTACTCGTCCAAGATGGCGGCGTGCGAGATGGCGGGCGCGGCGGGGGGCGGGGCGCGGCGCTACTGCGCCTGCGCGGCCGGCGCCGGGTACTGCACGCCGAACAGCGCCGAGCACGCAGACTTGGCCGCCAGCTTGCGCGCCTCCTTCTTGTTGGGGGCTGCAACACGCACGCACTCTCACTCACCATTCGCAGCCAAGACAAGTTGTAATCAAATGCAACAATACATAACACGAAGTACCTTTGCCGATGTACGTGTTGCCGTCCACGTCGACTCCCATGGTGAACAGCATGTTCTGAGGGCGGTCTCCCTCCACGGCCAGCTCGCGGTACTCCATGTGCGGGCGCATGTACGTGAGTAGCATGCAGGGATGCATGTCGACCGCGTTGGCCGGCAGCTCCTTCTGCTTCTTGCCCAGCGCCTCCTGCACGCTCTCCGAGCCCTGCGCGACATAAGCACTTAGCGATCTACGCGCAATGTATTCACTGACCTGTCACACAGTGTGACGGAAGTGGTCGGTACGTACAGAGAGGGCCGTGGGCTTCAGCTGTGGCACCTTGTGGCCCTCGTACTCCCACTCCGTGAACAGCTTGTGCAGCGCGAAGGACGCGAGCTGGATCATGGGTAGCGCGTCCTCGTCAGTGCCGCAGTCGCCATTGTTAGAACCTGCGCCAATCATTTTTACACTCCATTACACATATTATGAAACGTTAGAGGGTATAAAAAGCTGAACGGATTATAATGAATATGATACAATCAGAGGGACCGGTAATGACACGCAAAGCACAAGTATGAGTAGTACACTGACCACTGTCGCTGTTGATGACCTTGTTCATCTTCTTAATGATGAGATCTCGTATAGCTTGCTCGGCGGCCGCGTTGCGCGCCATCAGCTTGTTGTCGCCTGGGAACACGTGCAAGTGTTGCAGTAATTGCTAGCAAGTGCAGTGTGCCCTGCACTAGCGTGTACACGTGGCAACGTACCATATCCTTTGTAGTTGGTGCCGTCTACCGTGAGGTCGGCGCAGAAACTGTGCGTGTTCGGAGCCTTGTAGTACTGGTTGTTGGAGGACGGCTCCACTTTGAATTGCTACCAATTGTAAACACACACATTAACTCCGAATTGTCACAGACCTGTAGGGAGTTAAAGCAAGTTCGGGTGGTGAGTACTCACGCTGACGCTGGCGACCTGCTCGGCGGGGAGGATCTCGTTGAGCACCATCAGCGCGTTCTTGGGGGTCAGCAGGCGGCGCAGGCTCTCGTTCTGACGACGTCGTCGCTCCTTGTTGCTCACTTTCTTTACTATAAACAAATTACTTTAATGACAATCACGTCTCGCCACTCTCATATTCTCGATATTCAATATTGAAATAGCGCATGCGTGTTCACCTCCTGGCAGTTTGCTCTTCATCCAATGCGGCCGCGTAGGGGGTACTTCATCGCTTTTTGGCGCCACTGGCATGTCCACCATGTTAACGTCTTCGTCTTTGGCCTGCTGATAGTTTATTACCGAGTTAGTGCACAAGCACATCGGCTAGTTTTATATAATGCGTTACTATAATGCATGTAATATTGTTATGCGAACATTGTGTACCTCGCTCACCTGCACGGGCTGCAGATTTTGGTGCTGTTGCGCCTTCCGCTGAGGCTGAGGTGCCACGTACGTCTATCGACATAACATATAATGAAGCTACAGGTGTAGCTAATACAAAAAGTTTGTTGAAATAACCCAAAGACCACAAAATACATTCAAAACTAATTAGTTCACTCCTACAACCCAAAGCGCTTCATTGACGATTCCTCATTGATGGTAATGGAGTCCCATGGCTTGTGTTGTGGGATGCAGATAGAATGCGGAGCACCTCGCACCAAAATCGCAAAAACAGAATGATGCGTGTCTTAGTACTCACTGATGACTAGACTAGTGCACTTGCGCCGCCGCTCCCGACGCCCTCCGGCCGCGGCGTGCCCGACACCACCCGCCGTCTACAGCCACGTGGGAGATGCGTGCCACCATCCACACACTCACACACTCATTCATACTCATATTGTAAGGGAACAGCAAAATGCTGGCGAAGGTGTTGAAAACGGAAAGATGCAAATCAAGGATCAGTTCGAGTTTAGCAGTCATATCAAATCATCTCGTACACGGTGATGGTGGGCTCACATCACCCATCAACATCCATATTCCTATCATGTCTGTCACCCCACAAAATTGCAACCTCCTTGTATGACCAGCTGGGATAATGTGAACTTGCATAGTTACAATTTCAGAGGGTTGTCACATGTTAGAAATGTGGAGCAGCTTATGTCTACTAAGTCCAGAGAATGCTGTATGGTTACGAATATAATCATTCGTGACGATACTACTTTCTCAAACCACAGAGCTATCCTCTGAGAGTCTCACGTCGACATCTGGCGAGCACGACAACAACGGGCTTGTTGCAGTGCAAGCCGAGGTTGGACCAAACATCATAAGAGAATATAAGCAAGTGTTTACACTTGCATGTTTCTCATATGATGCTGGGTTTAGACGTGCAGGACTTGAGCCCAGTCAGAGGGTAGCTAAAGACTTTATGTGGCCAGTACCAGGGCTCTTGCGGCTCGCCAAAGCTCTGTGGTAACAGATATTATGATTTTTACAAATATTTTTAAAGTATTGTTACTTCCAATTTTATACAGTACAACTATGTTTAAAATGATAAACTTTTTTAAACATTATTTTTGTAATAGAATAAATTGACGACTACTGTAATTTAACTGAACTGTAAGTATTGCCTGCTGCAATGCCACATCAAGATAATGTATAAGATTGACAGAAACAACAAACACTAAATTATATTTCAACAGACAAGAAGTAGATGAACAATAGTTAATTACCTCCGCAGCAGGAACAAACTGGCCAGGTGTGTTATAGCGGCCCGAGAATCGTGTGTTATCTGCCAGAGAGAAAATATAAGGTTGATTAGTAAATCACATGTTTTCAATGACAACATGTCTCTACATAGACACATTTATACTATTCAGTTGTTTATTACATATTATTATTTTCTAAAATATTTTAATGTTAAATATCATAATAAACTAAACATTTTAAATCACATTTCTGTTTTTTAAATTAAAGCTATTTTAAATACACAGAAACAAATAAAACACCTGTGGTAGTATGAAAACTTTGGTTCACACATTAAATTAAAGGTGACTGTAGAAACAAATTAAACTCGTGTAATCATTAATGCAGACACTATTAATGACTGGAAGAGCTCAACACAATGATGGTAAAACTTGCAAGTATCCAAGCAGCTTTCGTCACTAGTACAGCTAAACTGCACACATATTTTTTAAATTATCTCTATGTACAAACCTTCTCTTGACTTCCACAAATAATTAAAGATCAAAATTAGCCAAATTGGTAAAGGCAATGTTGAGTTATAACATTACAACAAAAAGTGGCATTGATTTTTATTATATTATAATATATAAAAAAAACAATGCCACTTCTATATATGTATTGTATAGAATTGAGACAGCATGTTATTGAGGTATGTCATGTCACTAAAATGCGATATATTTCTGGGTCCTTGTTGCATACAGCTGTAGAGCTAAACTGACATATTTCAATAATTCTAGGATTACAACACTAACAAATGTGTCCGTCGGGTATCATAAGGGAAACATACGAACAAAACATCCATAATTATTAACTACCTACAGGCAAGAAGTACCTATTGATTATTAAATTTCACATTGCTCGGAATACTACATTCTGAAAAATCAATACCGCGCATGTTCTACTGATATTATTTCCAGGTCACTTATTTCAACCGATAAACGCACTACATTAAAGTTTTAAACAACGACTAAAATATATAACGACATCAGTCAGATCTAGCATCAAATTACAATTTTTTTCCAACTTACATTGTTTATTGTTATAGGCCATTTTTCAGGTTTTTTCAATTTTATGTCGTCGACCACTTGTTTGTTATTAACTTCGCAGGAGAAGTAATTGCACTTAAGTGCTTTTAATGTTTTTGATTAAATATCAGCACTATATCAATTTCAAAACACTTCTTGAAATAATTCTAAAGTGAACCTTCAATCACTCAATCAACGAAACGAAACAGAATGTCAAAATCTATAAATTCTATTGTCATCTCAGCTACAGCGAATATCAGCGGATTTGGGAAGAATAAAAATATGGCCGGCCAAGTTCTAGTGCTACCAACTCTCAAAATTATTTATCCCCTGTGACAAAAACTAAAATAACCTTAACCCTTTTTCTCCATTTTATGGGGGGAAAATCATCAAATGACTTCTCTCGACCAGGCTATGGTAGGAGGGAGTGTCAAACTCTTACTGACTAAAAACCCGGAGGGTGTTTTTCCTTCTCTTGGTAGGCTCAATTAGAGCTATTAAATAATTTAAGATATTGAATAATTAAAAAAAAATTTTAGATGGATCAAATGTTATTACAAAAGGTCCATAACTTCGATTCAATGTAAATCAATACATTTATTATACAAATTGTTTTTAACTACCTACCTATATTACAGACAGAGAATGCATGTTCGACACTGGCATTTGATAATCGCGTCTAAAAACCCTGAAAATACCTCTAAAAATTAAGAATTTTTTAGGGGTATTTTCTATAATTAATCAAAACTCACTTAAGTATCGACCTCCTAAATCTAGAGGAAAAATCCCTAAGTTGGGAACCCTGCCCATGCCCGTTAGGTATCGATAAACCGGTCAACCGGTACCACCACAGATTAATAACTGATTATGGATACCTAGCGTTGAATATTATTATTATTGTTTTTCTAAAATGTATCGTGTAATTAAGCCTTAAAACAATGTAAAAATTATACATAGATGTAGATGTAGATGTAGATGAAATTGAAATTAGTACCTAGTCCGCAGAAGGGTCGTGGAAAACCCGTATAAAGGTTAAAAGCGAAGAGAATATAAGCACTACGTTTAGTAAATAGTATAAAATAAAAACACAGCTCACAGTAACAGGACACAAGACACAAGCTACATATTATGGTTGCAGGGTGGTTATTGGGTAGGTACCTAGTCGCAGTCGCAGTCTTGGCTGGTGTTGCCTTGTCTCTTGTCTTGTCTGTCTAGTGCTTTGTCTATGGCCAACCTACCTGTCATGTCAGTCAAGTTAATTATTTTTGTTAAAGTAGTCAAAATAGTTGTTAGGTACCTACTAAATTTCCGAGTAGTCTTGATTCTAGTAGCGTCTAAATATTTACTTAGAATATAAGGATACAATAAGTGCACTGTGCAGTCAGAACTAATCAACATAGCTTCCAATTATCTGCGAAATGTTTGTGTATATTATCATCGCTGTGGTTCGAGTTCCTAAATGGCGTGGATGTTATGACCAGTAGCGAACAGTGGTGGTAGTTAGTTTTGTGTGAAAATGTACCCTAATCCTGAATTGAAAGTTGTGGACGCTGTAACACTGAAAGTTTAAAAAAAATCAATCAAACAGGTGAGTGTTTTAGATTTGGTAAACATTAAGCTCTGTTTCCAGTTAATGTCCTATTTGCTTTGGATGGATTTGTAAATATCATAAGTATTAGAACTACACTCAGAGACAGAAGGAAGTAGCATAATGTGTTATTGATAACATTAAATATTTACATAATGTGGAATCTTGTGTGTTTTAAAAGTAGGCTGCCATGTTTACATAATTGATTAATTAAATCCACTACAAGTAGGAAATTGAAACAATGAACTGATCACTATAACTATGTCATAGTCTGCAAGATATATAGTAATGAGCTGGAAGTACCTCCAGCACACAAGCATTTTATTGATTTGTAACTTTACTGTAGTTGTTTGTACCAACTGATCATGAAGATAAAAATATTGTATATTTCAGTTTAAATGACTTAGTGAGTGATGTCTTCGGTGCACTGTGTGGTGGTGTGGGAGTGGCAGTGCAGTGGGCAATGGTTGCCTCACACTCCGGGTGTCACGCGCACACTGGAGCGCGCACATGCCAAGAAGCTCACCCGAGTAGTGCTAGCTGATGCTGACCCTGCTCTCAAGGGACACTATGTCAACCTCAGAACTCTGACACAGAGTGTGGATACTCCAGGTATGATGTCAGTCTACGAGTGTCATTTATTATCTCTAAGGCAAATTAGCTAGTGCCCCAGATGCCAGGATGAGGAGGACACCACAAGGTGTGCATCAAGACTTTGATGTGCTTATGAGTTATTTACCCAGAATGCTCACTGGGTTTAATCAGCATCTGCATAACTGCTACTCATTGTTAATGTTTTAGTTTTAATATGTGCTCTCTATCAATGAGTAGCTTACACCCATTACTTGATCTGCATTCAATTTTATTATCGCTGTAGTGTGGGGACCCTATATTCTTTTGAGATAAAATATATATGTAAAATAATTGTTCTAAAATAAAAGTAGTTACTCCTTAAGTTACTCCTTATGGTATCAGCTACCTACCACATAAGTTTAGTGAAAATCAGTCCAACCATTTTAAAGATTAGACTGAACTAACAGACAAAAGATAAATTGTAAAAACTTTTTTTTGTGTATGTTCATAATCACATTAAAAAATCATTTATTTAAAAAAACAGACAATCTAATTTTAATTATTAGTACATATATTTTTCTGTGGTAGACAACTGTCCCTGGTGTTGTGGGTGAAGCCGCTAACATAAGCTAGTACTTATGTAATATGAAATTATAACATTGAATATGGTTTCTTTCTTCGTTTAGAGGGTGGGTCTGTGGAGTGTCGCGTGCGTCGCTCGTGCTACAGCGTGACGTCCCCGGCGGGGCGCGGCCTGCGCTGGGAGTGGGCGCGCTTCGTGACCCCGCCACTCGGGGGCGAACTTAACTACGAGCCACTGCCAGTCGAGGTATATCTTTGCATACCACCAAGCAAATTTACAGTGTCTTAAAGTATGACCCTCTGAAATTTCATGTTACATCTCATGAAAAGGTATTGAATGAACAACTGCGATTAAAATGAAGTAATTATGAACATTCTGACAGTGTTATGAATTGAGACCTTTGTTGTATCAATAGTTTCACTAATAATTTGATATTGTGATTAGTTACAATCTGAATTAAAAATAAATGTCGTGTACAATGTGCAATACAGGTGCAATGCCTGCTGGAAGAGTCGTGGTCAGGCAATGGCGAGCAGGTGTCGTTCGACGGCTGGGTGGCTTCCGTGTCGCGGATGACGGCGCGTGGCGGGGGCGCGGGCGCGGGCGGGGCGGGGGGCGTGGCCCTACTGCGGCGCGGTCCGCAGCCCCCGTACCCACTGACCCGGCCCGCGCCCCCGCACCCGCCACCACCACCAGATCGGCCGCTCGAAGGTAAGATCTGTTAGTACTGCCAGTAACATCAATGGGCATCTGCACAGTTTGAAGGCCTTTGAACTATGTGTGGCAGCTTGAGCAGTAACAATACATATATACATTACAGCTAAGTCACTAACTAACACTAGTACTGAAATACTATTTAAACAGAATGTGGAAGCATGATACGTGTGTCGAGACTGGGATCAAGATAAGTTGTAAATTTATTTATTTATTTGGACTTCTAACAGAGAAAACACCTTAAACATAGTATAAAGAGAAGGGCAGTAGGCTATCTCCGGCCCAATTTGCGATATAATTGCCTATAAATTGGCAAGGGTCGGGAAGTTGTATTTTTTACTTGTATTGTCTGGGTACAGGGTTTGTGAGGTGTGACTCTTTATGTCGCGGAACCCTGAAAATGAATAAAGTAACTAAAATATTAAAATTAAAAAAAACACTAAAACAACATTAAAAACTAACGCCTGTCTCTATAGAGATATAGACTATAATCGAATTTGTTGTTATGATTAGAACTTTGCTATAAATGTATATCTGATTTACAATTATTAGTCAATTATTTATTTTGAATTACGATTTCCTAAGTGTAAGTAGGTGAGAAACTAAAGTAACTGAGAAATCGGCATAACCAAACGTAAACAAAGCAATAGCAGCAGAAATTAAGCCTACCTACCTACTTCCTCTGAGCGATAGAAAACTAATAAAACAAAAAATAAGTAAGTAGGTATCTCAAAATCAAGTAAAAATTATATGCTAAAATGAGTGACTAGATTACCTTTCTTGTTCAATAGGTAATCTGAACAGAGACATTTCTGGAACCAATGAATTGTTAAGACACCCAAACACACAGCAATACGTTCTCCTGCGATTATCAGACATTTTGTTTTGATTTAGTGGTGCCGAAAAACAGTGACGCGCGAACCTCATGCAGTGTTAGGCCCCGACTGGCGCACTGAGAAACGGGTCGTGATTTTGTTACAGATGCGTGCGTCGACGCGTACAATAGATACTATGGCGCACACATACAAGCCGCGCGCGATGCGTTTGTATGGAGATAACCTACTTCCCTTCTCTTTATACTATGCCTTAAATGTTAGAAAATATAAATAATAGAATGACCTTGTGCTTCTCCACTTATAAGAAGTCGCAGCATGCAAATCTATACTATATATTATTATATATATTTAATTTATATTTTTATTAATATTATGAAGCTGAAGAGTTTGTATGTTTGAACGCGCTAATCTCCGGAACTACTGGTTAGAATTGAACAATTATTTTTGTGTTTGTTTTTTTGTTGTCTTTTGTTGTTTTGCTGTGTGGGGTCGAGCTGCGGAAGTAGACCCAATTGCATTTTGCAAATTTTGGTTCGTTGTCAGTATATGAAAATATTATGTACGTGAGAACGAAATTACAATTATTTGAAAAAAAGATTTAGACTTTAAATCAATGTAATAATAAGTGGTCAACTGCTTATTTGTAGGTCGTCGACCGCGTATCCCTCAGCAGCACACGGGGTCTAGCGTGCACTCGGTGCAGTCGGTGCACTCCGTCCACTCGCTGCACTCCCTGCAGGCCAGCCAGGCGAGCCAGACCAGCGCCACCATGCCCCGGCAGGGGGCGCGCAGTGCCTCGCCGCGGGACCGAAAGCCTGGCCTAGCGCGCCAGATACTGCACAACTTGAATATATTCAGTAAGCTCATCTCACACGACATTTTTGTGGTCGATTCATTGGATTATAGTGTCTGGTGTCTAAGTAACGGATGTGTATTGCACCCGCAGGCCACAGCAAGCAGACGGCGGAGAGCCGGCCCCGCGCCGCGGCCGACAGCCGGGCGGATGGAGACGGCGGGCGGGCCGGCAGGCGGGGCGGCGCGGCGGGCGGCGGACGGGCCGCGTCCGGCGAGCGCGCGGCCGACACGGACTGCAGCAGCACGCGGTCGGGGCGCCGCCACAGCGTCGACACCGTCTCCACGTACCTCAGCCACGAGAGCAAGGACAGTCTGCAGGTACCAACGCTACACTTTTTTGGCTTCCATCACATTCATTACCTTCAACGAGGTTTTTGATACCTATTCAAAACCCTCCCTGTTTCTTATACTTTTCTGTCATTATCGTGTTATGTAATTGAATTAAATATGTTATGTGCAGCAAACGTCAGTGGGCGAGCTTTTGAACTGTAGCGGTAGCAGTAGTGATGATGTGTTCGAGGAGGGGGAGGCCTCGTTGGCCCCGGCCCCCGCCCCGCCCGCGCCTCCCGACATGCCTACTTCCGATGGCAGCATCGTGGGTGAGTGTGATGGCTGGATTGTAAAGCCTCAGCTAAGCTGATAGACATGTATGTTTCTCTCGAGGTGAACTGGCTAAATGTAGTATTAAAGTGTTACTGCTACATTAGACGCGGTATCCGAAGAAAATAATCTTCCTCGCAGGTTCCAGGTGTCTAAATGTTTAATTAAATACGATTCGTGATCAGGAGTGGACGAGGCGTCGGCGGCGGTGTGTGTGTGGGTGCGCGCGGAGGCGTGTCCCCAGTGGGGGGCGCTGTGCCCGGCGTGCATGAGGTCGCTGGAGGAGGGCGCGGCGGAGGGCGGCGCGGGGCCGTGCGTGGCGCTGACGGGGTGCGGGCACATGGTGCACCTGGCGTGCCTCAACCGGCGCCTGGAGCGGCTGCGCGCGGCCGGCGCGCCGCTCTACATCGACTGCCTCGTCTGCGGCCGCGTCTACGGCCGCCCGCCGGGGGCGCAGCCGCCCGGCAGCATGGCCTGGACGCTGCAGGCCGCCGCGCTGCCGCAGCACCCGCCCTGCTCGTCCTCCATCCTCGTCACCTACAAGTGAGTGGCTGCACCAGTTTCGCTCGCCCGCGTATACTGTACCTATGTAGAGTCAGCGATCACACCGAGCTATTGTTCCGCTCCAGCTTCCAGTCGGGGCTGCAGGGCCCGCAGCACCCGGTGCCGGGCGCTCCGTACTACGCGGTGGGGTTCCCGCGGTACACGGTACTGCCTGACACTCCGCTCGGCCATCAGGTATTACACTGCTTATATTACCAACATTATTATATTCATATTACTAAATATCAACGTTTAACTAACATGGAATCGTCGCTTAAGTTGACAAAAGTAATTAAATAAATTAAATTTGATAAACATTCCATCTTCCATCACCAACAATACAATTTCAGTAGTGGTCGTTGTACAACTCACGCCAGTGTCACTTTAATGAAGGAAATATTCGGTGCTTGATAGGAAGCAAAGGATGCTGCTAGTGTCTTTTGTGACCTCTCAAAAGCTCGCGTTGATCATGAAACACTACTTGCTGAAATTAGATAATTACGGGATTAGACTCACTGCACTCTGTCTATTAAAATCATATTTAGGGGATCGGCAACTAAGGGTTCATGTAGGTAGTTCTAACTCTCGGGGCTCTGAGATAAGAATGGGTGTTCCGCAGGGTTCAATATTGGGTCCAAAACAAATGTTTTTTTTTAGAGACTATAGAGGTTGTTGCTCTTACTTTTCCATTCGAATCTACAATTTGAAATGAGCACCTAGCTTTATTGACGAACAGACTGACAGACTACTATAATAATTCTATTTTGACTTTTTTATGTATTAGGTCGGCAAATGAGCAGACGGATTGCCTGATGGTAAGCAATCAGTGCCCCCCATAGACACCCGCAACGGAAGAGTTACGAGTGTGTTGCTGACCTATTAGGGATTAGGAGATTCAGAGATAAGAGCAGGGGAGGGTTTGGGCCTCCGGTTGTTGCATTACGTCATTTTTCTGTGAGGCCTTGGTATCACCGACTTTTTCGTACCGAAGCATTGCTCTCACACACTTTATTTTTAAAACTGTTTAAAAATTATTAAAATTTATAGTAAACCATTCTCGGAATTTTAATTAGATTCCTGATTTGACAATTTCAGTATTACAAGGTTATGACAAGTACTAAATAGTGACGTTGCAAAATTATTCGATATGGAAAATTATAGTTAGGTTAGAATTATAGTTAGAATATCCATTATTTCTAAGTACATTGAGGTTTTACATTAAATGTTGTTTCACACACACTAACATTGCTGGTGTAGAAATAATTACCTAATCATGCTTTAAAAAGAAAAAAATAATAATTATAATAAAGTCAAGCAAATTGACCACAAAAAATAAAAAAAAATGTATAAGTAAGTATATGATAGTAAGTAACAATATTATTTGCGTCAAAATGGTAAAATATTAATTATAATGTCAAAAGCTAAATACAGTGTCAATACTCATACCAAAAACGTATACACTCACAATACTAAACTAAAATGCTAAACACAATATGAATCAATGTAAAAATACTAAAAACAATGTCAAAATATTAAATCAAATGTCAAAACTTGTGATTTAAAAATTCATTAAGAGAATAGAAGCACATCTCTGGAAACCGAATATTTTCGAATCGATTACTTTCGAAATTAAATATTTCTGAACTGATAATTAAGTTTTAACAATTAATAAATGATGTGATACTTTTATTTTATTACTAGCTGTGCCCCGCGGTTTCACCCGCGTTTTTGTCGTTTCCGTGGAAATACCGAGATAAAATATTGCCTATATTATAGCATCTCTCAATAAATGGACTATTGAATATTTAAACAGTTTTCATAATTATCAGATCAGCATTTCCCGAGATTACCGCCTTCATAAAAAACAACCAAACTTTTCATGTTTAGGTATAATATTAAGAAAAATATAGATTAAGTTAAATTGTATAAGTCAAGTAAGCAATAGCTGTTTATCTGTTCGAAATTCAGCCAGAGTAAGAATTTCGACTACAGGCGGGAGTGTCCGTCCACTTTAAACCGGGTTCAAATATCATTTTAAAGTACTTCTGAGTAGGTAAATTATATTTTTTGTTTTATTTTCTGAATTGGATTAAAATGTAAAGGCAAATCATTTGGAATCATTAGGATCCGAGGTTTAAATACTGTTTGACTAACCAGTCATAATTATTATTGCAACTATCACGTTATTGCGAACAAATTTAACCTAAAGTCTCCCGTTACATAAATTAATGGGGCACCAATTTTTAACTTGAGGGAATGTGATGGGATGCCCCTCGGGTTTAAAGAATGAAAACATCCCTGTAGATAATGGACTGCATATTCTTGATCCATTGGAAGTTTAGTTAAAATTAAATCGTTAATTTTGTCAACACTACTGTTTAGACTTTACTCTACTTTAGGATTCTCTCCTGTGTTGTGGGTGCGTTTACAAACATACAATGTCACATACACATGACACCCAGACCCGAAACAACAATTTGTGGATCACACAAAGTGTTGTTCCGTGCGGGAATGGAACCCGCGACACGTTGCACGGCAGCCAGTTGCCCAGCCACCGCACCGACTGTGCACACTTCCATTGATAATCTTTATTTTCTATTTCGACGACATCTTTTGATATTAAACTCTCAATGCCAGTCTTTTTTTCTCCTAAATCTTGATCAATAGGTATTTTATTTTCAAAATAAGGTACTTTTCCGTCTCCAACTAAAAGTAACTTCAAAGGAAAATTTGTACTACCTCCTCCCAAATATGCTCTCATGTCCGTAGATAGTTTTAAGGTATGAACAAATTTCCATAATATAGAACTTTGAAGGCAATTTTTTACAATGTCTACTTTAGTTTCTCTTAGTACTACTGGTAAAGTTTGCCGAAAATGCCCAGCAAACATGACAGTAATCCCAACCATGATTTTATCACAGTCTCTAATATCTATAATAGTCCTATCTAGAGCCTCTAGTACATTCATCCCATATTATTAAAGTGACATCTTACAAATTTTTGCCTAAAAGGCCATTTTTACGAATAGAGCACGCGCTCTTTCTGTAACGGAACGGTTAGGTTATGTTAGTTTAAAAGTGTAATGAGCTGTGCGTACGCCAGCTAATATAGTAGCAGCGATTCCAGATGACGCTACTGCCAAAGCTAGTTTTCCCTGAGACCTTACTTTTGGTAATATCATATTAGTAGCTAATGAAAGTTTTGCCGGTTCCGCCTGGAGCATCCAAAAAAATATTTTTCCCTCATTGAAACAACACTGTGCATAACACTATTGTTTGCCATTACCTGGTCATTAAAGAAATTGGGTGCATTTACAGTAATATACTCATTTAATTCATTTACATCGTATGGCTTCCGCAACGACATTTCCAAATTAAGATGTATGTTTTTCCTTGGATTTCCTTTCCCTTAGCAGAGTTAGTTTAGAAATGTATTTCTAATACTCTTCAAACATCTTATACTTACAATCATCAACAAATATATTACGAAAAATATTATTACAGGATTTTATGTTGATAAAAAACTCTATGGTCCATAACTCATTGATAAGGTACCAACTCTTACACACATGATAACTTTTAAACGATTGAGAGATTGAGAGGAAATAAAAAAGTATTTTAAAATACTTATAAATAAATGCTCTTGATAACATAATGCTTAATTCCGATAAAGAATAATATTACGATACATATTTAACGCTTTTTTTCCTTTAGACGATTTAATAATTATTTTGAACACAAAATCAGGTATTGTGATTAAACCATGATAGCTAGATATATGCTCTCGCGGACTTTTTGTAGGTTTTAATAGAATCTACAAACCCGTAGTACATCATTTTGTTTTCTGGTCAATAGTTATTGCAGCGCACGCAAAAATAGGTTTTCGATTTTACTCCTTGTGTTACAAAATAGCAATTTTATTACAGATCCCTAATTTTGAATTAAATAAAATTTGCCTGACTTCGTGGCAAGGTAAATAATGAGACTGTAGATGGTTAAGGTCTGTTTATTACTTTAATTGCTGGTGCTTATATACTAAGAAGATGCGTGAGATTTTCAGATTTAGCTATCCTAACAAACGTGCAACAATTAACATGTGTGTCTTATCTCTATCGTATCTAAGTAATGTAGCGACGTGATCGTGCCGCTACATATACTCCCCCCTTTTAAAAATAATTAACATATAAATTGAAAAAAAATAGTATGTACCTAATTATATAATAACTTAACCTTGCTGATAAATTACATCCTATGCGTAATGTAATGTCATCGTTGCTAATTCGAAGGAAATAAAAACTGCTGCCTTTGTTGTGACGGCGGCGGCAGTCGATGAACTATCCACTGCATTTGTGCTGATTGTTTCTGCTGATTGAAAATTTTAAATTCTTGTTATTACGAAGTCGTAATAATTCTTGGTCATCATGCTGACATCTTGCTAAATCAGCATAATTAATCGGTGATGGCACATCAATTTGTTCTATCCGTGACAATGCGTCAGCTACAATATTGTCACGTCCTTCTATATGTTGAATGTTGGTACAATATTGTGAAATAAAATCCAGTTGTCGTATTCGCCGTGGCGTATCATTAGATGACGGTTTTTGGGAAAATGCGTAAGTCAAAGGTCGATGATCTGTAAAGATAGTAAATTCTCTTCCTTCGACTAACCTTTGAAAATGTTTGACTGCCATATATATTCCGAGCAACTCTCTGTCGAATGTCGAGTATTTTTGTTGAGTAATGCGTGGATTCGCCTCAATGTTAATAGTGCGGATTGTTTGCTGCGTCGATTTGATCAGGGTTGCGGGCGTTGTCAGCTCAGTTACCCTATCTATGAGTTTTCGACCAGCTATATCGACTAATAGCTTATAATGCTCTAAAAAAATCTGCTCCAATAATCGGTTGTGTTACATCGGCGATGACAAAGTTCCATACAAAGTTTCTTCGTAGCCCGAAGTTTAAAGAGAGTGTTTTTTTACCATATGTCTTAATTTTTGTACCATTGGCGGCATAAAGTATACATTGTTCATCTTGTATTAGTGAATGTCTCTGTGGCTTGCTAATAACTGAAATATTTGCTCCCGTGTCAATCAAAAATCTCATACCACTTTTTCGGTCGGTAATAGTGAGGCGGTTGGACGGGTGAATAGCACAGAGTTCCGCCGTTGTCCGTGCTTCAATTAGTTTCCCTGTTTCCTTGAGTTGAGATCCTGTTTCCAATCACAAGGTTGAACACACTTTTGTGCATATTTTTTAAATCTTCCATGGTAAAAACAAAAGTGCCTTCTTTCTCTTGAACTTGACTGTGGTAGGAAATGCCGACGATTGGAATAACTTTGAGTGCTGCGTCGATAGTTTTTTTTTTTTGACCTTGCTGAATTGCATTTAGTTCCAATTGCATTTCTGCTAACTGTGCTAGTATGCATGACATTGTATCGTCGCCAGATTTGTTTCCGTTTACAGCTGACACCTCTGTACGTGTTGAATTTATTAATATCTTGTCCGCGATCTGGCTCATCTTGTTCACATCTATGTCTTCTGTGACTGCTAGAACCGAAGTCACTGATGGTGGCAGAAGCCTCAACCATAGAAGTTTGATGGTTTCGTCGCTGATATTTCCGTTACTCAGGGTCCGCATCTTGCGCAGAAGATGTGATGGTTTCTGGTCGCCGAGATCCATTTCAGACAATAATTTTTGGAGCTGACGTTGGTCTGATTCCTCATAGCAACTGATTAGGCGTTCTTTGATAGCCTTGTACTTTTCTATTGGCGGTGGGCAAGTAATGAGGTCACTAACCTGTATTATTTCTTCTTTTGGCAGTTTTGCAATGACCGTATAGTACTTGTAATCGTCTCCTTGCTTCTGTGGTGCTACTATGGCTTCTAGTTGCTTAAACCATAATCTGGGTTGGTCCCTCCAAAATTCCGGTTCCGGCTGATATCTCCAAGGCTTCTTGTTGGCTGCTGCTTGATTTGCAGGGTGAATGAGTCATGTTGATTGTTCTTCGTCGGGTCACCAATTTGCCTGACTTCGTGGCAAGGTAAATAATGAGACTGTAGATGGTTAAGGTCTGTTTATTACTTTAATTGCTGGTGCTTATATACTAAGAAGATGCGTGAGATTTTCAGATTTAGCTATCCTAACAAACGTGCAACAATTAACATGTGTGTCTTATCTCTATCGTATCTAAGTAATGTAGCGACGTGATCGTGCCGCTACATAAAATATACCTTCTTCGATAAATGGACTACATAACACTGAAAGAATCATTCAAATCGTATTTTTTTTTTGTTTTCGGAACCCGACTTATTAATCCTCAAACGACGAATTCTGTGCTCCAGCTCCAAAGCACACGCGCACACTGTTTTGATAGATGATTGACTTTGTTTAGTGGTAAGAAAGTTCAAATTTACTTTTTGACGTTTGGAACACACCTTTTCTGCTTTCACTTATTTCTTAGATAACAGTGAGTGCTTGTAATTTAATATGAACCTAGCTCTAATATGAAAAAGCTCAAATTGATTCGACGTTTTAGTTAGAAAACTTTTGTATGTGAAAAAGAAAAGGACTGTTTTTAGGGTTTTCCCGGCAATTATTCGATTTTTTCTCGCCGTAAGAACCATCCTTGGACTTCAACGAACATCTTAAAAAAAGAATTGGCCAAATTGGTCCAGGCGTTATTGAGTTATGCGCTTACAACACATTTTGCGATCCATTTTTATATATAAGATTGCGTGTGAAATTAATGAAAAAATGTGACATATTATGGTAATAATTTATTTTATAAATGTTGTTACTTTCTGTAACATTTATTATAAATTGTGTCTGTGATATTTATTGTTAATTAATAGGTTACAATTTTTTTCTCTTCTTTGACAGCATTTAGACCATTCGGTAGTCGTAATTTTTTGAATGCCTTCCTGAACTGATTTACGAATAGTTTATCGATTTTTGTGTTCATCACTACACTGTTATATGTGGTATCATTATTTCACAAAATGACAGAGGTTAATGTCAAATCTGGAATTGAATTAAAATTCTGACTATAGTGGCTTGCCCTTGCTTTGTAACAGTTGAAAAGTTGCTGAAACTAATTTAGACGTTTAGTAAAAATTAAACGCGTAAAAATATAATATAAGTAATATTTGCAAAAAAAATATATAAATATAATATTTGCAAGCGGTTCAGAGATGATGTCGAAGTCGTGGGCCTCACTATCGTATAATGTGTCGTGAGTGTGCAATACAAAGTGTGTGTGTGTAGGTGCTGCAGGCGCTGCGCGCGGCGTGGGAGCGCGGCGTGCTGTTCACGGTGTGCGCGTCGCAGACGACCGGCCGCGAGCACGTCGTGGCGTGGCGCGCGCCCCCGCCCCCCGCCGCGCCCCACCACTACGCGCCCCCCGCGCGGCCCCACCATCTGCTGCGCGACGCGCTCGCAAGACTGCGCGCCCTGCTGCCCTCACCTGTGCCCATGCCTGCGTCCGCCTCGCTACTCTGACCTCTAAAACAACACTAATCTACCAATGGACTGCATGAAGGTATCACGCAACCATGCAACACTAAATAACTGACTCTACACTGTTATAGCTATAAAATTATTACATCCATTTGTAACGAAACATTTAAAACAAGTAAGAATAGGAATAATGATAAAACGATGCGAATATAAATGAATTTTGTATAATTGTAATGATTGCAATGATAATTTCAAACGTTGAACGAAAATGAATTAATTAAAACAATTAATTTATAAAATAATTGTCCCCTAAAAGAAATTTTAGATACACTCGAATAGTAAATTTACGAACTAGAAAAGTACGTTTACTGTTAAATAATATTCAATTAAAAAATGTAAATCAGTGCCTTATATAAACATTATGTGTATAAGTCTGGAATGACCAGTATTTTAGGTAGCTACAATCTTATAAGAAACATATTTCCATGTTATGTTTTATTATGTACATATTTATATATATAAGCGCGACGTCTTCCAAACGAGGCAATAAGACGAAATGAGTCTTCCTTTAGTCGTAACATTATACTTGTATTATACATAAGAGACTGAAATATATCCATTATTGTAATTAATAAGTATAAGTATATATTGTTATAGAAAAATGTTCTGTTCAGTTTGATATAGTGACGAATACACAAGTAACAAACTTAATTATCCATTTGAGCGACAATTTGGATGACTAGCCGTTTGAAGGGGTTGTCGTAAAAACTAATTTCCTACCAAAATGGTAGAAAACAGAAATCGAATCACCATCGCAAATAAACAGATAAACTAAACAGCGATATCATATATTAAACAGATATGACTTGTAATTGAATGGCTTATTCAACTATTTGCAAAGCAAAGGCCTCTTCCCACATCGAGAAGAGGCCTTTGCTTAGTAGTAAGCACTTTGAGCATTAATCACCATGGTTGCTCATGGCGGATTGCCGATATTAAACTTATAAATAAATATTATAAGTCCAGGTTTCCTCACATTGTTTTCCTTCCTCGTATATCAGTGATGTCTTTATAATCATAGAAAAAGTCACATCGGTACTTGCCAGGCACTTCTCTAAAAATATTGCATTGTTGTTCAATATTCGTCACTTTATAAAATTGAAACAGTTTTAGTTATACAATACATTGTTAAGTAAGTAGAAGTATCTTGCCAGTTAGAAGGGTTATACTGCCAGTACTGTTAGAGTGATACTACCACGAAAACTCGATATAATGTGACATAGATCTGAAGAGATGTCCGTGGATATTCCACTTTTTTCGCCTTAGAATATTATCCTGATGATGATGATGATAGATGACAGATTGGCGATGAAAAGTTACCTGGGGAATAATTATGATGCTGTCGCGTCATAATGTCTGTAAGACAATTTTATTCCTCAGATGAAATTTATCTGACTATTGAAAAATCAGCCCTAAGTATACCAAGGCGTATTTTTGCTTAGACGCTTAATGATGTAGAATGCTCTGCGCTGAACGGTTGTTTCCATTTATTATAGTCATAATTTTAGGCACGGTTTCACCCGCTGCTCGGCTCCTATCGGTCGTAGGGTTTTATACCTTTCAGCCTTCTTCGATAAAAGACCTATCCATACAGATGTATGTGTTTTGGATCTAGTTCACCAAGGTGAGACGAGGACAACAAAATCGTAGGATTAAATAGAAAACGACGAAACGAATCTTAAAAAATATGTTTCAATAACAAGGTTTAATTTGGAAATACCCTCTTCTAAGAGTTAGATCAGTTTACATTTGTTTAAATTGGTGATATGCCGTAGGTGAACAAAGTGGAATATACCATGTGTTTATGTTTTAGAACGTAAAAACACAATTGCACTTCCATTCATTGGTTTAAACATATGTTGTGTGTGATGTGGAATCTCGTACTAAATTAGTAGATGCCGTTTACCTCATTACCATTGTTTTGATTCAGTTAACTATATTATAAGTATTTGTAACAATGCGCAGCTGTCACACTCCGTGCCTTATAGTTGTTAAGTTAGACTAGAATAACTATCTCCCTAGTACGGGTCTGAAGCAGATGACTGCCTTTGATATATTTGCATATTTTTACTATTTTCGGTTGTATGTATTGTTGTAATGCATTGTCAAACAATTTATTTGCTAACCTGACTAAACAAATACACACGATATTGTTCTCAAATGTTTGTAATACGTTACATCTATGTATAGTTATATAACTGCCATTGTATGTCTTCCCACGTAATGTAATGTTCTTCCAATGAGCTTTATTATATTAAGACATCGAATATTTACAAATTATAGATTTAAGATATGTTATACACTTATGTAGGTTGCAAAGAAATGACATTAGTTATAATTGTTTATGCTAAAAGCCCTCAGCGCGCGGTCCCTGTCCCGTGTCCCTATAACTTACTGTTTGTGCGGGGATATGTTAGTGGAGGTCGCCGCGACCGCCACGTGTTGCCATATTGTATATATGTAGTACAGACGACAGACGACGTCTGCTTGCCAAAGCCAAACAAACTGACAGCAAACTGGAATTTATGTAACTACGTGTAATATTTACATTGGGACCGAGAGATACTATATTGTTTCATAATTATACGTATTATTTATAAACAAACGTGTGTTTTATTCCTTGTCTTATGTTGTGCGATAGTGTGAGTCTGATTGTTATTCTTATTTTCTTAATGACAACATTATTTCACTGTATATTGACTTAAACCTACAGCGTACTTCACTATAGTTCTGGTGATGAAAGTCGCGTTAGATTGACATTATTGAATTTAATAAAGAATTTGTGCAGACAGTGTAGACACTAAACTAATCCAGTATGTATGTATTTCGCCATTCATTGTATGAGATGCGAAGTCACTACTGACTGACAGAATATTTAAAAATGGAATTACGATTCGAGTGGGTCTCACCCCAGCAACAAAATTTAAGGTTCCACAGGATATCGGAAAGTTTATGTTGTAAATGTTGTACCAACGTTGACATTTTGTTGTCACAGTGACGCGGCATCACTGTGTTTACATGTCGTGTGCGATTTATATGAGTGCGTAATGTGTAAGGAACGCCGCACACGGGACTTCCTAAGATCATTATTTCAAATGAAGATCTAACATGGTACCTGCCTGCTACCTGTGCTGCTACCGCGGATGACAACAACTTATATTTGCGTGTGCTTGTCACATTCAACTAGTACCCGCCCCCGTGTCCCGGCCCCGTACAGGATCTGCTGACGGTTGAGTGAGCCTCTACCCTAATGTCGTAGTACCCAACTGTCAGAATGTTTATCTGTGACGAACTTGAAGCGGGAACAATGCGCGTCTCATCACAAACAGTAGCTACTCTTGATCTTCCTGCAAACACAAATAATTTGCAGTATCTACCACGTCTATCCGATAAAATCTATACGTCTACACAGCAACTGATATAACTGCTCTTAAGGCGACGACTTAGGGTTCATTTTAAATTTAGAGCATTTCATTTACTAATAATGTTATCGAAGAACAAAAAGGTTCAGTTATTTATAGATAGTGCTAAAGTATATAACGTGCACTTCAATTAGTTAATGCAGAAATATCTAAACTATCAAGATGGTCGGTGAAGTAAAGCGTGTGTCGCTGGAAGACGTTCTCACAGAGAAGCAGGTGCACCACATAGTGAAGCAGGCGACCGGGGCGGACACCTGGACGCTGGGCGCCAGCGATGTCAGGCCCGCGGCGGACGGCATGGCCGGCTTCCTCGGAGACCACAAGCGAGCCAAGCTGGACGTCTTAGTGGACGGGGAAGTGAAGCACATCCATCTATTCATAAAACGCATTCCGCTGAACAATCAGCCGAAAGCAGACTTAATTACCAACAACAGTTACTTCAGACGAGAGCAGTTCATGTTCAAAGTGCTCGAGGAGATTCGTGATGACAATGGTGAGTACCTACCACTTGAACAGGGGATGTAAATGCTAATAATAAATTGTTCCTTATAGTAAACCAAAACAGTCTGTATTGTCAGCTAGTAGCTTCACTAACTCAGAAACGAAAACTAATATCTCATCAGAATTTGAAACAATGAATTAATATTTTCAAATAGGCTATAAAATTCACACGTCAATATCTGAGTCTAGAGAGATATTTAAAAAAAACTAGACGAAGCCGGCATTTCCTATCTGACTATTCTGACCAGAAATGCTGAAACAACATCAGATCAAACAGAGAACAGTCAATTAAATATATAATAATAATAAATCGCGGGTTACTCACGTGTATATATTGAGAAAGGCTCTACTGTAGTCAGAATTTTAATTCGATTCCTGATTTGACATGACCTACTGTCATTTTGTGAAATAATGATACCACATTTAACAGTGTAGTGATGAACACCAAAATCGATAAACAATCACTGAATCAGTTTCAGGAAGGCATTCAAAAAAATACTGCTACCGAATGGTCAAAGAAGAGGAAAAAATGAGTAAGCTAGATATGTTAATTGACAATAAAAATCACAGACACGATTCATAATAAATGTTACAGAAAGTAACAGCGACAGCGATAGCGATGACGGCGACAATTTATAAAATTTCTGTTTTATTTGTCATGTTCCTTCATGATCACATTTTCATTAATTTCACACACAATTACAAAAAAAAAGTCTCAGTTCGTTATTTAGTTGTCAAAACTAAATTATCGGTTCAGAAATATTTTATTTCCTGATAAACTTAGTTTACGAGAGTAAATTTATAAACGAAAAGAATCGATTCAGAAATATTCGATTTCCACATCGAATAGTTTTGCAACGTCACTATTTATTACGTGTCATAACGTTGCAACACCGAATTTGTCAAATCTGGAATGGAATTAAAATTCCGAGTATAGTTTCGAACCACAGAGGGGTTCTTCCTCATGAGCCGCGTCGGCGCACGCTGCTATTAGTATGTATCACGATAGTTATTATAAAAACAGAGAACAGTCACTTTTGACAATCAAAAGGCAGTCGAAAGGCTCGGTCTCACAAGCCTTACACAAAGAATAATTTTTTTTACAGTACATTAATGTAAGCACCCATAGAGAAAGGCAAAGGCAAGTTTTGCATCTATTTAGTAACTCTGTAACAGTCAGTGCGTTATTTAACATTGGTATTAAATATATGTAGGTATACTTATATCAGACAGATAACATTACTACTGGCCACTTTCAGATCCAACCCCGTGGTGTCCGAAAGCGTACATCTACACTGACTCTATAATCGTGATGCCGGACTTGTCCGTGGAAGGGTACGCCTCGCCTTACTTCCTAGACACGCTGGACTACGAGCACCTGATGCTGGGCATGGCGGCCCTTGCCAAGTTCCACGCAGCATTCACCAACTACGAGACCAAAAAGAGCATTGCCAACAACCGCCCATACAATACTAACGATGAACATGGGAGCTTGCTGATAGAGCCCGCATTTTGCGACAGCCCCTTTATGAAAGCTTGCGCCAAGCTGACTGCTAACTTCATTAAAGCCTACTCTTGTAAGCCGTATCGGAATCTACCTGATTTGGAGGATAAAATTGCTAAGCAGTACTTAGTTGCGTGTGAGACTATGAGGGAGTGGAAGGGCACACTGAACGTTCTGATCCACAAGGACCTATGGGTGAACAACATCATGTTCAAGTACCAGGACAATGAGCTCGTCAACGCGATGATCGTGGACTTCCAGCTGATCCGGTACACACCGCCCGCGTTCGATGTAATGACATTCATGTATTTGACGACGTCCAGGAGCTTCAGGGATGAGTACGAGCGAGAGCTGTGTGACCGGTACTTCTCAGTGTTCTGTGACCATCTAGACGACGACTCCAAGCGGCGAGTTAAAGACTTAGGATATGATAAGGAGAATTTCCTGAAGTGGTGCGAAAAGAGCCGCATGTTTGGACTGTTGGAGCCAGCTGCCATTCATCCTTTCATCCTTATGCATCCCAAAGTTGCCCAGAAGACGTTCGACGATCCCGAGACGTATGAAAGGTTGGTGAACGAGGACCGCACGGAGCCGGTGCTGGCGTACGCGCAGCAGTGCGCGCGCTACCGAGACAGATTGCTCGAGGTGTCCGAGGAGTTCATCGAGAGATACGTGCTGAGCGAGCTGTGACGACACAAATGTTGTTTATTAGAATAAAGCTTTATTCAAAATGGCATGGTGTTAGCAATGTTTTCATTAACTCAATTTAATAAACACCCACACTTTTATATTATTTATGGATTCACACGCAGTCACTATGGTAGGTAAACAATAAGAATAAAACATTTGATGTCTAAAAGTCCATTAGTTCCGTTCAGGAGTCTGTAAATAGGAATTAGTTAACTTTAAATCTATTGTTGCTACAAGCTAAGTGTTAAATATCTATTCATGGTGTAGAGATCATAATAATAGAATGAAAAACCAATTTCGGTGAAATTAGTGACGAAGTGGTTAGGTACTGAAAATAAATTGTTAAAGTATGAAGTTGAGTAGAAGTCCCGTGCCGGACACCATGTACAGTGGATTATGTAGTGTGACAATGTGACGGCGCGATGAGCGAGGTAGCGGCGAGGTGGCGCGGTAGCGAGCTGGCGAGGTAGTGGCGAGTGGTGATGCAAGTGAGGCGCCAGATGGCCGCGTCCATGTGTCCGCCTTGTATGGACACGCCGGCCGGCTGCTTAGGGTTGCTACTTACAATAATTGCGACTATTTAAAACACTGGTTACTATTAGGTACTATGTACCTATTAATAACTTAACTTCTTATAATTACGTAAGTACTTTTTCTTCAGTGGCGTGTCGTGCGTGCATTGACAAACATACACACATTATAACATTAATTTATATATAACATAATATATATTCGTAGAGTACTTAATCACGATTCTTGACCAGGCAAATGAATAGTACCTACCTAATGGTGTTCCATATTCAAACCCCACCTACGGTAACATAAGAAATCATTTAAATACGGACCTAAAATAAAATCTTACATTAGTGTTACAGTAAACAGCTTGCTTAGAGCAACCCTACGCGTGACACAGTTAGCTGGCCGGCTATGGACAGAGCACGACACTCGGACTCCATATCGAGACAGAAAAATAGCCTGTTTACTGCTAATGCAGTTAATTCGCGATCTATTCCCTGAACTTATGCAACCAAAACCTAATGTAACTATTGATATTTGTAAATATTTACAAACGTAATACGTTACTGTGAGAAAGTCTCAAGAAATTGAAACGTAAAAAGAAAGTAACTTTTGAACTGATAAATGACTAATTCTATTTTATTTTCTTATCGATGCTTATATGAATAAGCAATTGATACTTGATTGCTACTTACTATACTTACAATTTGATTACCTTCCTCACATAAGTAGGTCACAAATATAAAAGGTTATTTAAACAACAGTTAACGACAACCTGTAACTGTACGTTTGAAATTGTTTTTTTTAAAAAGAACACCATTTTATCTAATCATTGTAGCTGTGTAGCCAGAACACACACATAATGAAGTAACCTGGCTACGGAATCAGGAGGCTTGAAGGGCGACGAGTGTAGCTGGTCGGGCGGCCCGTGGCAGCGTGCAGCCGTCACGCTGCGCACGCGCCGCCCAACAATACACGCATTGTGTCATCTGTGCAATCTGCACCTACTCTTTGATATATCTCTGTAGTTGCCTTACACAGTGGCATTACTTTGAGGATTTATCTTGCTTAGAGCGAAAGATACTCGAAAATGAGTGGGCGAACCTACAGTGGCAAGCATCTATTTCAATTATATTACCTCTTTACACCTGTTTACATTTTCCATGCTTGCTTGTACTCCGATTTCCGAACCATGTGTTTTGTTTCATATGTATAGTTAGGTACACGTCTTCGATCACGTCAACACTTACAAGTGGGTAACGCAAAGCAATCAAGTCCAACAAGCACATTAATTTTAATGAACGATGGTGACTGAGTGTCTGTGTGCCGAAACTTAATAAAATAATATTTTAACGGCTCATTAACGGACAAAATTGTGATCGGTGTAAGGTCGCCGCGCGAACAGTTGCATCACATCGTAAATCTGTCAGTGGCGATACGCATCGCGGCTTATTGTGTGTTTATACGGTATTATTATGATTCAGATGCATTGTAGGGCTGCTGGGGAGAAAGCAATTACAAGGTTTGTTTACAAAACAAATATAAATAATTGCCTTTTAGAAGATAAAGATGTTCCAAGGTTTCTGGGGCACCTAACATCCACACCACAGCGCTAACTTATTTTATTGTTTTGTTTTGCACACATTTCGAAATGAGCCCAATTTTGGTTTTAGAATTAAATTTATAGGTAATAGTTTAAAAATACTGTGCCCCTTATTTTTCGTGGTATAAATTCTCATTGTTGAATAGCCAGTAGGTAAATGTTCGGAAAAAGTATCTCCACTTGTCTATTACCTACTAGGCACCTCATGCATGTGAGATCTGTGGTTACGACTATATATCTTCTCTGTTATTTTTTTACATTCATTCGTCATTCATTAGTATCGAATCAATCAAATAATACTACTATGTACTCTGCTGCTCTTGATGAGTATATGCAGTAGTCATGCGACGGTGGCAGCCCTGCCATTCACCCCCTGGAGTGGGACAAGGGCGGCGTGTCTCCCAATACGGAGCGCCAATGTCTCTCGATTACATGTACACACACCGCGATGTTGTGTGTTGTGATAATGTATTTATTAAACATGACGTGATAACTAGTAACATAACAAACAGCGTTAAGTCACTGTTTTGTCACTTTATATTATGTCAATTAACCGTTTTTTTTTGTAAGGGTAAAGTCGTCTGCCCGACCTTGGGCGGGAGAAGTCGCATTTGATGGTTTTCGCCGCGGTGCCTCATTGCGCTTACCCCACAACTCCGGCTGAACATCAGCCCTATAGGGCCCCGTCTGTGGTGGTCTATTGGCTCCTTGAGGCGCGCGCGGAACGCTACGCGCCGTAAGTTCGGATCTGGTTCTGGTCGGGCGACGAGCGCCTATCGATACCCTACGCCCGGAGTGTCACCTACTGCTGCAGCTGGGCCGTGAGGAGGAAAGCTAATTTCAATTAAACGATGATGTCAATTAGTGCTAATAAGAATTATTACTACTAATAATAATTCTTTTGGGCCCTTTGTGAAAAGGAAGGACTAGCCTCTTAGTAATCAATTTCATGTTTGGGCATCGGTATGTGAGGGCGGCACATGCGCTGCTGCATTCCCCATATATGGACAAATTTTAGTTTCATCGCGGCCATTAACAGGAAAATGGAATGACTAGAGCAGCCGGTGCCGTGACGTCACACGCCTTGACCTCATTTACTTGAGGTCCTGCAATACGCTGTACCACGAACAGGTCGCCCCTGATAAGTTGGCTTCAATTGTTAAAATTGATGGGTCACGGGGAAACTGCATCGTGATTTTGCGAATATTATGTAGAACAAGGTGTTAGTTAAAAAATGATGTAGTTTTTGTTGCTAGCCAGACATACCTGACATTTCAAAGTTTTTCATGAGTCGTTAGTCGTCGGTCCCCAGAACTGACAAAGGTATAGTAAGTAGTAGGTAACCTGTTCAACCTTTCACACTTAATGTACTCACACATTATCAGTTATACTAGCTTTTGACATTTATAGTTATTACTTATAGTAGATACTAAATCAATAAATAATGAAACACAACATTATAATAAATTCCTCGGGGAATAGTAAAACAGTCACTTTCAAACTGTCTCTTTGACCCACGAATGCAAACCGCCATCCCTTGCTGCGAATATCAAACTCGATCAATAAGACACGAACGTTACATAATTTCATTAAAATACATAATTATTGTCTAAGACAAAATCCAATTATTTATTTCAATCAGATCATGAGGTATAGGCACTTCTGAACGTTAAACAATATAATTAAATAGGTATAGGTAAGCCAGTCTCAATGAGCAGATTGTCTAAATATTTATGGAATTCTTCGAAGTCGAATCATTGCGGTTTGTATTCATTCCAGTTACAAGTAAACTTACAATTAAAGCTCCGAATAAGGTCAATTATTTTTAACTCAATGTTATTCTGTAAACAACACTTATTAATACCTTCTGCTACCTTCTACCTGAGGTAAAGTAGGATCTATATTGCGTGTACAAGGCGCCTTGGTTGTGCACGGTAATACAGTTCCTAATACCCTGCTTGTGATTCCAATTTATGTTGGTGAAACGAACTGCGTGAGTACCCAGCACCATGGACTAAGGGAATCTATTACCTATACCTACATTTAATTTTAATTCACAACTCTAGTTACTTACGAATTACGAATACCTGCTTACCAAAATCGAGAAATAAGGAGTGGCTTGACTGGCTTGTATATTCATAGCACGTATTTCTAATAATTTTTCATTGCCTGCTACTAGCAGTGAGCCAGAAATAGAACCTAAATCCAGCAGGTGTGTCCAAAAGTCCACCAGATGGTCTTACCAGTATAAAAAATGATGAAATCCCAATAACACATCGGATTCTGTTGCTGACGTTCGACAGAAAAACTAACTACATAATACCTAATGTATTTTATTCTTTAAATTCTAAGTAGGAAATGGGAAACTCAATCCTGATGTTCCATCCTGATGCTAAATCAACGAAACATAATTCTTTACCCGATTCTTTTTATATATAGTTGAAGCAAGTCATTTAACGTGTTTATTGTCAACAAAGTGTATTCATAAGAAAGTTTGACTAGGTACCTACCGACTTCGCTGAATGTTAAACAAATTGATTTTATAAAACCAGCCATTAAGGAGCGAGGCAAATGTCTGACAGGTTGTAATATTAATAACTTCACTTAGATAAGGATAAAAGCATCTGAAGTGACCATTAATCACTTTCTATGTCCATTTAGTTCGCGGATCCCCCACACACGACACGCGCGGCGGAACCTGCACAACTTGAATTCGATGTAAAGATAAACAATGGTTCCTACTCTGTGAGTGTGTCTCAGGTGACTACTATGGCACACTACTATTCATACTACAATCTCAGCCATTGGCTATCTGTTTATGCGAAGGAGGACAAACGTCCAGACGGATTACCTGATGGTAAGCAATCAGCGCCGCCCTAGGAGAGTCGAC